AGTTGTATGCCCACCGTACACATACTCCTCATGCTGCCAACCATGGCTGCCAACATCTCTTTGTCACGAAGAACACGATGCTGTCATCCAAGCTCCACTCGCAGTCACACCCGTGATGCACCAAAACGTTCTCTCTGGGGTAAAGCAAAGTTGTTCAAATGTTCCAGACTGCCAGTCCAACACGCTCGTTGTACAATATCCTACCGAACCCTCCGCCAGTACTCGAGTGAAAAAGTGTTTCTCAGTTGCGGCAGCAGTAGCAGCAGCAGCAGCAGCAGCAGCAGCAGCAGGTGGTTCATTGTCACGCACAATTTATCCATAGTGATCGGGTCCTTTCCGCCCCCCACCCCGCAAGTGAATTTATACAGCACAGCAGTAGTTCACAGTGACAGCAAAGAGTGGAATCGTGCAAGAGAGGAAATGATGGCGCTGACACAACCAAGGAGACTGGCTTCGCGTGCTGCGCTGGAGGCGAAGTCGGAATCTGAATGAACAGCGCCAAGGCACCCCTGGAGCTCACGACACATCATGCATTCCCTGACAGGAAGAATCAACCGCCTCCTCTTGTTGCGATGTACTTCCGTGTTCCATCACAACGAAATGAAGGTCGGTGTGTTCGCGGTATGACGGTGGCTCAACTTGGCATCATGAACTATTGGACATCTCAATTGCCCCCCACGGCACCTTTGGGTTGAATTGAATGTAGGTGCCGACCGAGCGTTCCGTCTAGATAACTGTTGAACTATAGTGAACTGATTCACTCGATTGACAACAGGAAAGGCACATAAAACGTGAACGTCTGCGGAATATAGGCATTACTACTTGAAGTAGACAGAGCATTTCGTCACTGTTGTGGCACGTGTGCATATGTTTCGTCCATGATCGAGTGGATGTGTAGCTTGTGGACGCCAAAGAGAAAGAAAGAGGGAGAGAAACGCGATTTTGTCTTGCACTGGAGTGAAGTTCGACACAGCAATTTTGTGCCACCTACGGAAGTATCCATCCAGCAAGCGCCCGATTGGATTTTATTCACATCAGTAGAAAACGTTGCGGATGAGACACGTGGCGGGCCTTTCTTGGCGGATATTGGCGATAGAATAGGATGAACATCACAAACCACATCAGTTTTCCATCCACAGGATTCACATCCCCTTTTTGTCTGGACCCAGCCGTACCGTTGTTAAATGAGCAAAATATTGTCCAAAAAGTTTTCGTGTCACTTTTATCCGTGTTGGGCATCCGCGTTCAGCAGGTTGTCTCCCAATGGCGACCGTCGATCACTGCGCCCCGCGTCGAGGTACATTATTCTTGGATACACGACGGATTTCATTCTGTATGGACGTTAGGTATGAAATCCAAGAAAAATATGAAATCAGAGGTACGCGGTTTGGACCGCGCATCATGGGAGCTCCGACGCGAGGATGTGGTCTTGTCGCTCTTGCATGCAGAAATTCGCTTAAAATGCTGACGCGCCCGGAAATTTGTTGGCTACGGGAGGTAGACAGATTGCGGAGGCTACATTAGTGCTTATGACGGATTATGGGGAATTGTTGTTGATGCCTTCCATCCCCGTTGGGCGTCGCCCTCCAACTGGCCTGGTTAGAACCTCTTTGGCAAAGTGCTCGCTGCGACGCGCACGCTTCTGCGTGTTCGCCCCGTCGAACCCGACGAGCCTTTGCACCCTGAACACTCGGGGCTACCTGCCCCAGTGTGTCCCGCTATCTACGAAATTGCGCCCCCGGGTGATGAATCTCCAGCCGATGATTCTTCCTCCGAGGACGCACGTGGCCCGTTGGACGTGCCAGTGAACACGCCCGCGGACCATTCGAAACAGGTGTTGCACGTTGCCAATGCCGCTTTTCGCGAAGCCGCCGCTTCCCCACCGCCGCTGTTGACGGAACACGGCCAAGATTTGGTGAGCGGTGAGGTTTTAGTGGATTGCGATACCTCTACGACGCGAGTCCGTGTAGCCCTGTTGGACTCGAGCTCACCGTCGTCTTTCATTAGCGATGTTCTGCTTGAAACGATGGAGAGGTCAGGAGCTGCATCTGTCCACAGTCGTCGTTCGGTGCCGCTCGGCAGTGGGGTGGTTTTGGCTCTGTTACTGCTCTTGAAACCACAACCCCCGTGGACGTGATAGTTGGATGCGTTTCAACTCTCATTTGTCCATTACTTTGCCCGCGCGCGTGGACGCATTATAGAGAAACTTTCTCTGTCGTCGGAATTTGCGGCGGGAGCTTCCGCGTGTGTCGCAGGACCCTCCGCCCTCGGGGCATCTTACTTCCTGCGGTACGCTGGCGAAAAGGGTGTGTCCCTATCCGATAGGCCCCCTTTGACGAGGGTGGACCTCGTTCGCAACTCTGGCACTCCCGCCCTCACCGTCAACTATCTTTGTCAGTTTTTTTTTCCGAAACACGGTGCCCGTTCAGAGTCGTACGCGTTCGTTTCGGACGGGCCTCAACACATCCCTTTGACCGGATGCGCCGAGTCGGAGCCTGGTGACGCCCTTGGAGTAGCGACTGCCCAACTTGTGCAGATTCTGCTTGCGTCGATTTATCCTTCGCAGCAGACGGCCGCAGGCCCTGGGTTGGGTGATCCTACGCCGCCAGCCCATTCCGAGGCTGGGCCGCCGTCTCGCATGAACTCTTTGCGTTCTAATATACCGGTTGCGGATCCGGAGATCTCCGACTCTCCCGCCGCCTCACTGCCGTCGAAATCGCCGCCGCCGGAATTGTTGGAACGCCTGTCGGACGCACAGCGAGTCAGTTTTCGCTAGTTGTGGAAACGCTTGCCTGAACATTTGCGCGATGTTACTATTGATTTACATGACTCGGGTTGGACCCCGGAAGCCCTTAGCGGCTTAGCGGGCGTGCTGTGTGACTTTCCGGATGTGTTTTCGCGGTCACCGTCCGATTTCGGTTGTTGTTCCGTGAAACCGTTTCGTTTGGAAGTGCCCCCCGGCACGAAACCGCTGGCCTCGCGTCACCAAAGGCTTAAACCTCTGGTGGAGAAAATGGTCGATGTAATTCTCGATCAAACCTTGCTGCCGGTCTTATTCAGCACTCGCAATCGCCGTGGGCGAGTCCTCTGGTTGTCATACCTGAAAAGGACGGCACTATGCGTTTGACCGTGAACTATGTACAACAAGCTGAACAAACTGTGCAGCCTTGGCCAACAACCACAGCCACGTGTCGACCATATCATCGATTCCCTGCACAAGGGCAGGGTGTATTCCATTTTCGATCTCAACTCCGCTTTCCACTAGATCACCGTCGACGAGGATACGGTCCAGCTCACGGCGTTTTGTACGCCCAAACAACTTTTTGAGTGGCTCCGGATGCCTCAGGGAAGTTCCGTGGCACCGTCGTGGTTCACCGTGGTCATCAACGAAGTGGTCAAAGGTCTGGATCACGTGCTTGCGTACCTCGACGATGTGATTGTGTGCGACGCTGACCCTGTTCACCATGTCGCTAATTTGCGGTTATTCTTCAAGCGTTTGCGCAAGTACAAGCTCAAGCTTTCTCCTTTCAAGAGTCGCGTCGCGCTCAAGAGGATGTCTATTTAGGCCACACCATCTCTCATGCGGGTGTTACCCTTCGTGCCGACAAGGTCGAAGCCCTCACAAAAATGCCGCTGCCAACCAACTTCAAGCAGCTGCGTTCCTTGCTGGGTGGGCTTTCGTATTACCGCAAATTCATCAAGGGTTGGCCATGCGCGTTGAACCACTCACCGACCTTTTTTTTGCGTAAGGGCGCTAAGTTTTGCTTTACGCCCGCCATGGCGGACACTGCCAAAGCCCACTTGGCGAAACTGGCCGAACCTCCGGTTTTGGCTTTCCGGATTGGGACGCTGTCGCGAATGGCAGACGCCCTCTCCGGCTGTGCTGCGACGCCTGTGTAGATGGTTTTTGGTGCGGCACTCGAACAAGAACAGGTCGATGGTTCTGTCCGCCCCATTCTGTTCGTGAGCCGTGCTACGCTCGAAGCTGAGCGCAATCGGACAGTGCTCCACTTGGAGGCTGGAAGTATCGCGTGGGCAATCAAACCCTGCGGGGTTACTCTTGACTTTTGTCTGATTTATTCGGATCTAAAGACTTTGGAGAGCATCTTCAAGGTGGGCGAACACAAAGATCGTGTACAACCTTGGCTCGAGTCCCTTTCCTCATTCAATTACGTGTGCCGCAAAGGCACTGCCAACGCCAATGCGGATTTTCTTTCGCGGTTGCCTTTACGACGAAACCGTGTACCAACCCACATGACACGGATGAGCTGCCTGAATATTTGTCGGGCGATTTGCAGGAACACAAAAAATACATTTGGTTTACTGGTCTGGGAACGCTATTGTCAGCGCATACGAGGGAACCGGGCTTATCGTAATGCTCGGATAGCTTCGGCCGACCGAGAACTTGCTCGGAATCACGCCGAACGTTTCATTGCTCCCGGGTACCAGTTGGTCTCGCGTGACACTTGGTTGGCTCGCTGCTCTGTTTCTGTTTTGCCTGTCGGGGCCCACATTTGGTATTAAGCTTCGGATGGACTTTGGTGGCTTGGACAGATTATTGTTCAGTAGTTTCGCAATCGGCCAGTACATTGTTCGATTCTTAGACACCCCGGGTCCTAGGCTGCTTTCTCTCCCGTCGGATAGCTACCCCACGGTTTTGGATGCTCCTTGCGGTTCTTGGTGCGTGCAAAAACACCTACTCGTGGTTTGACCAACCCTTCCACGGATGGTGGCGTTACGTCGCGGACGCCAGGCGTCGTGGCACAGCTGGCCGTTGCCCCACCCGGATCTGTGCTTTGATATACAGTAGTGCCGCCTACGGGCCGCTACACGTTTTTGCGTTTTCATTGTACTTAGTACGCCGTGGTACGCTAGCGCGTGTTTGGGTGGTGTGAGCTTCTATTATTGTTGCAATAGTCACCCCGACCTTCGCGTTTCTACCACGACCGAGACTCGTTTTTATTTCCGCTGGTTCCGTCGTCGGCGACATGATTCTCAGTCGTCATCACTGTGCGGTGTGGGGATGGTTTGGAGTACTTCTCGGGGATGAAATACTTGTATTTTTCTCCGACGCCATGTATTTGCAGATATTTGTGTTTGGTATGGAAAGTTGCATCTTCGATCTTTATTTGAGGCTGAGTATTGGATTGAAGCATCTACATATACGAATAAGAAATCTACAACAAGAGATCAAACAACAACTAACTGTGAATACCCGAAGCTAGGAACAACGGACTTTGCTCCCTTCCCACAACATTTCTCTGTTCCTCCATTACAGATATAGCACATGGAAATGTCGCGGTTCCGGTTTTGACCGTGTGGTGTGGTGGTTTGTGGTGGTGCGGTGGGGGGTGGGGGGTGGGGGGGCTGGGTACCCCCCCGGGTGTTTTTTGTTGGAGCTTGGGGAAAGAATGAGAGACAGACACTGCTGTAAGGCTGAAACACTTCTGCCAGCCAAACTCCCAATCGATCAAGACCACCGCTGGAAGAGACAAATAAATCTGTGAGACTGAAACACTTTGTGCCAGCCAAACAATTCCAGGGGGTTCTGCTGTTGTCCACGGTGCTCACCTTTGTTTCTATACCCTCTCGCCCGCAACTCACCAATTTGGTCTTCGCCAACACGATGAAACTGGCCAGCGTGCTGTGCAGGACAACCGATTGAGTTTGACTGTCGAGCCAACAATCGTGCCAACAGTGTTCGACCCTACCACGTACAACAACGGGGTGCAGCAATTACCCAGCCAGACTGTGGTATGCCCGGAGCATCAGCATGGCCAAACGGTCTGGTTGTGCGACATAGCCCTTGGTATGCTACATGAATATGTCGGCCTGCGCCATGGTCCGCTGGTGGGCTGCAGGCTGCAGAATGAAAGGTCGCGTTGGGCCGAGGATGATAATAGTTTCACCCGTCGGATCCATCGGTCGATCGGTCGATCGGTCCACCCCCCTGCTTCAGATGTTGCTGAGGGCATGTTGTATTAGACCGCCACCACACTGGCATGTCCAGAGCACACTCGCAGGCCACGTGACCGCACACCACATACGTTGTTCGGGCCTGCGGCGAGGTGGATAGAGGACATGACATGGTAGTGGTTTTCGTTGTACGGGAATGTGGCGGGGTTGGGCCCCAAAGTGTTTCGGAGAAAGAATGGGACACAATCTGTCAGAACGAAACACTTCTTGGAGTGTAGAACGACCAATCCATTGGTTCGCAACGAGCACGCGCTCCTTCCAACACTGTTTACGAAGTGTCAAACAGACCTCGCAGGTTCCAACCTCTCCGAATGAAGAGAAACAAGCAATCGTTATCTTCCAAAACACATGCACTCGAGAAAATTCCGAAGCAAATGCTAAGGAATCTGTACACGGTCAGCCTATATAAAGTAGTAGCCAATGAAGACTCTTCGTACGAAGAAGAGTGGGGAAAACTTTCAAGCACACGACGGCTAGTGCATCAAGCATATCTTGAGAATCCTGTAGACAGGCGTCCAGAAAAATGGGACGAGATACAAGAAAAATACGATGTGGGAACAATATTCACTGGATACAAACATCCCATTTCAGACCAATTCACAAAATTTATAAGCTGCCATTGTCCAAATGCGTGTGAACCAATATTCTGCTCTCAGCACACCATTCTCTCAATAGCGAACAAATAAACCCGTTGTCATGTGTAAGCGATTGCTGTCGCAGTCACACCATAGTTCACTTATTATCCCAACGCGTCATGGCACTCGTTTTCTAGAGAGGTTCGCCAATCAAATCAGCTTTTTCCAGAGTATCATCTTAGAATCGCACGGTTGTTCCCCAGCGAGGAACGACTGTTGGGTCTAAAGAAGGCATCAAAAACGCCGGTTACATACCATAGGCTCTCGACCCAAACCACAGGGTTGTAGTCTTGTGTGGGAACTCAACCCGGAAGAAATACGTGGCCCGGCTACGCTTCCACTCACCTCTAAAATGCGCTACGGCCTCTTTACAGGCGAAATAGTACTGGGTAAGCATGCTTTGAGGAATAACGTAAGGACGATGTGTGGCTGTTGCAAATGAGGAACGAGGTAGTCTTCGGACCCACCCGAGGGTACAACAATACGTAATGTCTCACCGCAACCGTGCAGCCCGTAACATATGCCGTGGACCAATATTTTTATCAAATGTGAAAGCATTGGTGCCTGCCTCTGGCTACGCACCACCGACTCTTGACGCACCTATTATCGGGATCTCAAATGGAGGACCAAGCGCACAGAGCGATAATTTTTCCAGCCAACAAGCGCATGAAAAACATTCCAATTTAGACTTTTCCACATGTTTTGCAACGTTTACGGGAAGCCCTTAAAATCTGGACTACTACTGCATCACATGCATACAATGAATCGTACGCCTCTCGCCAACGGTCGCAGTCTCACGGTTGTGCCTGCCTGCCATGCCCATGCTCTGACAGGATCGAAGACAAAAAGTACCGCAGTTGGGTACAAACACGTCCTCGATGAGCGACGACCACAGCGGCGGATGCTAATTTGGTGAAGCCGGACTGTTGCTGGTAACGTTTGCAGTCCCCTTGACACGCCGCCGTTGCCCAACCATATTCGGAAACTACGAATCTCATGCTAGAGGTAACCCTCCTTGCATGTTCGGTTCCTTGCCTCCTGCCAACACCAGGGGGTAGCTGGAGCCGGTAGCCACATGCATGTGTCGTCAGGTCTGTTCACACTTGCTCTCGACCATCTGGCGGTGCCCCACAAGTCTCGCACTGGCAGGCGTCATGTCGGCGATTCCATTCGCTGTGATGGGGAAGGCCACCCCTACCGGAGACAGCAGCTCTCTCGCCTCGAGGTCATAAGTAAGCGGTAGCTGAGAGGAAAGGAGGGCAAGGGCATTCGACACACGTTCGAGTCAGCACTGCCGGTAGTGTTGCTGTTGTTGATGGTCGTGGTGGTGTTGTTTCGTTCGTTATAATGAGAGGGGAGTCAGAGCCACCATACTCCAAACTTAAACCCATTGAATCTCGCCGTCACCCTGATTGGTTTAATGATTCTGTACACGGTAGGTCTGACGAATGTCTGTACATCTTCAGCGATACGGCAGGGATAATTTTTGAGCGACGCATGAGCACCAGGTAACTTGTTCGTGATCTCTCCAGCAATGAAAGCTTCGGTGCAGGCGAGGTAACTTGGTACCTGTGTTCTGTAGCCTTTCGTAGGCTGTGTGCCACTCTCTCTCCTTCTCTCCCTCTTTTCCTCCTTACGGGACAACCGATCAATACACGAGTGTACATCTTACCCATCTGACTGTAGGGCACTCGAGGCTAACCTACCGGGAGCACAAACATGTACCTCGCTGCCTCAATTCCGCGCATTTCCCGAACAATCCGACCACTGAATCGATGTCTTCTTCCAGCTAATGCAGCAGGCCTACAGGAGGGCAAAAATATGCTCATGATGGGAAGCGGGAGGTCTCCCGCTTCTGGACGTACTCCTGGCTGGGCTACAGAACGCTCCCGCACTTAGGAACCCAGGCAACCCAGGAGTTAAGGGTCGACGGACAAGGGGTTTTGACGCTGGCTCTTTTCCTATACTTTAATCCTATTCAAAGAAAGAAAACAACCTTCCCGCCAGGGTTAGGTGGCGCATTCTTCGGCCATCAGTAGAGGACACCTTGAAGAGGTGTCGTGCATGCTGGCACGTTCAGGTTTCAACTGGAGCTGAATATCGAAGGTCGCAGCAACCTCTGAAAACAGTCCGAAATCTGCGCCGGATCCAAGCGGCATCCAACATTTGTCATAGCTGTGTTCACCGCCACGGACCATAGACCCCTGCACGGAGGGTTGTCAGCCGTAGCTGGTGGCAGTAAACCCACGGTTCAGGAGATTAGAGGCTCCTGTGACCTTCGATATTTCAGCTCCAGTTGAAAACCTGAACGTGCCAGCACGCACGATGCCTTTACATGGTGACTTCTACTCATGACCGTATAATGCGCCACCTAACTCTCGAAACTGACCTTGTTCGAGCGCCTTCCGTTTTGGGTCGCTTGACTTGAATTTAGAATCGTGTGAATTTTTGTGTTGATTTCAAAGGAGGCGTGCGGATGTAGACGCGTGACATGTATGTTTTGGGCATCCTCTACTGCCGCCCTGTGCAAGAGTAAACTATTTCTGTTTTTCGCGATGCCTTCCGACTGGTCTTGTATGCCTGTTGTGCAATTTCTGGTGCTCTTGCGTTTGTTTTCAAAATTAGTCAACATCGCAATTCTTTGTCCGCAGACCCTTCCGAAAAATTGAGCCTAAAAAAACCCAAAAGAGCAGCATTTGTGAGCTCAGGTAAGATCTCCTACACTAAAACCTATGTAGCAACCATTCGTAGCAACCCCAGCCTCGGCCGAAACTAGAGGTTCTTAAGTTAAGTGGTGGCGCGTTCTGTATTGTTGATGAAAAAACCGATCTCTGTTCGCCGTCAACGCGGACAAAAAAAAATGGGGCCACCCCACCTTGGAAAACGGGCACACCAGTGCCTTCAGCATCTGTCCATCGGGTTCCAAAAACTCTCCCACCGTGCTTGTTCTTCTGATGCCCACGGCTCTCTCAATGCTTCCCAACAACGGCGGTTTGTAATAGCAGAAACGAGCGACTGCAGTCTTCGCATGCCCAGTCCACATGGTAACTCCGCCTGTAGCTTATGGAGCCTTGATGCACACACGGACGCTGTTGAAGATAGAGCCCCTCAAGCAGCGTCAAACCGATGCTTAGTTTGCTCTTCAGAGCTCAAGACACGGAAGATTAGTTTATCGGAGACTGCTGCTCTGAGAGCTGAGAGCTGAGAGCTGAGAGCTGAGAGGAAGCTGGCATGCGGCGGGATTTGTTCTGAGGGAGTTCCGCAAGTTCGCCAGGCCCAAATGCGGCGCAATTGCATCGTGCGGCTTGATTAGAACCCAGCGAACCGGCACACTAAGCCGCTCTATCTCCTCGTAAGTTCGTAGGGTAGGCACCAGAGGTCGTTGCCTTGCAAATGCGCCAAACACGTGGGCCCGAGGCACTGCTCGAACCCTAAAGCTGAGGCTCCTTCGCTATGGCGATCGCCAGCTCAGTCCAAGACGACCACGGCGGTGGCCTCTCACCGGCAGACTTTCAGGCGAGGTGCGCCGAAGGAGGCGGCGCCTCTTCCGTGGAGATGGGCCAAGAGAATGTGATTGCTTCGCTCCTTCAGCAGCATCAGGAAGTGCTCCGAGAGGTTCGGGATCAAAGGAAGGTGCGCGAAGGCTTACTGCTTGTGTAGGTTGCATCCTAGACTGCTGTACTGCCGTAGTCCACCGTCCGTGCCTGTAGGACCTCCGCACGTTGGGCGTGTGGACGAACTGTGTGACAGGATTCATTATTCCTGTTACTGGAGGTCGATTTTCACCCTTTGAACCGCGGTGAGATGCGTCCGTTGGCATACCAATCAACTCAAGTATCCGTTTAGATGCCTGAGGCATCAATACAACCCACAAGGGGAGAATCCAATACAACCCACGAGCGACTCAGCTTGCGGCGCGTTCTTCTACGTGTGGTGCTTGACAGGGGCTAGCACTGTCACAGGAGAATAAGCAAGAGATCGCCTGGTTGGTACTTTCTTCCCTGAAGAAGCAGAGCCTCCACCGGCAAGAGAAGACAGCGAGCGGGCTTCCGGGCCCTCCGGCATTCGCCTTCTCGAAAAGAACCAGCAAAAAGAGAGCCAGCACACGCCGCCGTCGAAAGCACTCCCGCTCTACCCGTGAAAAACCTCGAAGGCACGAACGAAGCAGGGACGATTCACCACCAGGTTCATACGAGCCCTCACCGACAAGCGACCACAACGGCACCGGCGGAATCGCTCTCACGGGAACGTCCAGGTTGCTTCATTTCTCACGGCAGGGAGATACTGCCAGTGCTTGTGATGATCGCAGCAACGGGATATGTTCGACCTCGACAACGACGGTGATACGGCAGAGGGTGGAGAAACCGGCGGAACAGGTCGAGGTTTCTCTGGACGGTCTCTGGCTCCCCTCCCTTCATCCTTCGTCGGGGGTGGGGAGTCTAGGCATGGCAGCAGGCAGGCGAGGCAGTGGCTTGCACGACAGGGCTGCCACTGCCGCGGTGACGGCGGGACACCGGGCGGAAGAATCGCTTACTGCCGGACACCCGACGGCCGTGTGGTTGGCGTCGCCGTTTTCCCGGTCGATAAAGACCCAGAACGCCCCCGTGGTTGGCGACAGAAAGGGATCAGCTACCGCTAGAAGAAGCAGAACGCGCCCAGCGACAACGGTAGCCTCGCAAGCAGCAAGACGACGTGTCGTGCCGGGCCACCCAAACCACGAGGGAGGTGCGGTGCCGGCAAGAAGCCGGTTGTGTAGTAGTCGACGGAGATTTGATGGTGACGCGGCCGACGCCGATTGTGTGCGAGGTAACCGGGGCGCGATCCCGATTGTGGGCGATGATGACGAGTATGGTTGTGAAGATGAGGAAAATGATGGCGGCGACGCGCCGCCTTTGCTAGGACGGGTCGTTGCGGAGGGGGGTCGTGGAGACAAGCATGAGGAGGGCGGTGACGCCGCAGTGCCTAGGAACATCAGCCGGGACACGGCAACCATGCTCGAGAGATCACGCACGCTGGTAGCGAGGGCAAAGGTTGGTGCATATGGTCTTTTTTTCCCATGCTGACGCCAGAGTCTCGCAGGTGCCAACATTTAAACCGCCGAGATCCATACCTCCAGGCAGCCACTGGTGTGTGACAGTATAACTGTAGCGCTGCGCGTATCGATGGTCCCACAAGGAATTCATAATACCTCAGATGAGCTGGTTCTCTGTGTACCACCGGGTCACAATTCTCGCCGACACCCTCATCTCTTTTCGACAAGGGTATTCAACGAAACACGGACTACCTTCACTTCTCTCGCACAGGCATACTGTGGCCAGACCGGGTTTTTTTCCGCCACAGACAATACCGGTAGCACGGAAGGTGACGGAGGGCCGCACGAAAAGACGAGCAAGAGCTCATGCCATCTCGGCCCCCCGCCCGGGGCAGGGCGCGTTGAGGCGCCTGGCTCTGCCAATGGTGGTGATGGTGGTAGTGGCGGTACGGGGGAAGCGGGCTCCATCCTGTACGGGCCTTCTTCGCTGTGGCCAACTGCAGCGGGCGCGTTCGAGGATTGTGATAGGTGTGGGGGTGGAGCAGCTGGCGACGGTTGCGATGGTGAGAGCACCGCCGGGGAAGAAGCCGGGGCCAAGGAGAAGGGTCTTGAAGCTGCCGACGGGGGGCACCAATCGGTGGGGGGGTATCAAGGCGGGACCTCACAGCGAGCAAGGAGAGATAGCGGAAACGCGCCGCCTCCGGGGACCCTCGCGACAGAAATTGGCGCCAGATCGCACGGGATTGCAGCTGTTGAGATCGAGGCAAGCTGTACGGAAGGGCCGCAGCAACCCGAGGTATCGCTTCCCTCGCCCGTCAATAGCGAGGTTGGCAGCGGCGGCAGTCGGGGTCGCATGCGTGAAAGCATCGGTGGCGGCAGCTGCAGCAGTTCAGGGAGTGGTATCCTTAGCAAAGGGAAGAAAAGCAAACGGCGGGGGCAGGGGGTCAGCGGAGGTGGAGGCCGGACGGGCGGCGACGGTGAGGACGGCAATCCCGCAAAGATTGATACCGAGTGGGAAAACGAGATAGCCAAGAACATCCTGAGCTTGTACCAGACCAAGCTCAAGGCCGACCTGGACGGCAAAAAAAACGCGAAGGAAGAGGATCTCGTGGTGAGTTGGTCGTGAAATTTTCTTTCGTGGCGATAGAAAGATTTTTTTATCCTTGGTAACGGCGCTTGAGCTGATTTTGTTTTCGGTGCTCCAACGTGCCCGTCAGTTACATCAAGGCACAAATCTAGGCGCAACCGTGAGCACGCCGTGGGTATTGCCAGGTTTAGATTTTCGCTTCCAGATGTTGGTGAAATCACCGATCAACAACACCCCTTTCTACACACGCGTCCGGCTACCCTTTTTCAAACGAGCTTCCCGGGCGTACATTTTGTTGCATTGTCGTCTTCACCAATGGCTCAATCGTCCCGTGCATGTAGCTTACACGATGCCAATGGACGATTGTTGTTGTGCGCTGCAGCGCAAGCAGCGAGGGTACCTCACCGTCGAAGAAGAAGAGGACTACGCCCTCGAGCAGCTGCAGCAGCAGCACCAACAACGATGTTTCTCACACCGTGCGGCAACAGCCGCCCCCGGCCCAGCGACCTCCCGGCGGAGCAACACGGAAGGGTGCGGTGGCGCACCTACCAAGCCAGGCACTGCCGCCGCCTCGCCAGTCAACGCCACTCCCACCCCGGGTAGGGAAAGAGCTACGGGCCACCCCGCCCGAACCTCGCCATCTCGTTCTCGACGCCCCGTGACCCGGGCGGCAAAACCGAGGGAGGTAGTCGTCAGCAAGGACTACTCGTTAGGGCGTCACCCCCCACCGATACTGGCTGCCGCTGCCGGAGCTCCCGGTGCCAACGGCAGCGCAAGCGGCGGGGGGGGTCACGCTACGGGGGCGGCGAAGGCCGTCGGCGGGGGGCGGGGCGGGTTCCGCGGCAGCAAGGCCATCTCGGTGCTAACCAGGGGCGGGGGTGAGGCGGTTGTCATGGTGCCCAAGCGGCCGCGACCCATCTGGTTCGCCGGGAGCGGCGCGATTCAGGCCGAATGGTCGGCCCTACCGGGGGGCGCGCGCGTGGTGAGGGATCTGGAAGGGCTGGAGGAGCAAGGAAGGCGAGTTTTTCAACCTTCGTCAAGCCTAACTGAACAGTAGCAGTCTGTGGCAGATCTTGGGTTTGGAGGGTGATGTTCCACCCCCTGCCGAACTGCCGAACTGCCGCCCCCCCCGGTGTTTTGCCATCGGGGTTGGGTTTTCGTCGCTTGGCAACGACGTTGTAAAACAAGCCGCCGCCCCCCGGTGTTTTGCAATCGGAATTGGGTTCTCGTCGCTTGGCAGCGACGTTGTAAAACAAGCCAAGTCACTTCGTGAACTCGGCAACTAGGTTACCGTTTTTTACCTCTGTTTTTTTTTTTGCGGTAACCATGAATGGTGGTCGAGTAGATCATGTTGTGCGGGGTCGAGAACCCTCACTCCGCGCAACGGGGATGATTGCACCACGTCGTGTTAAAATGGTCAAGAATCCTCGAGGCAGTTACACAGTGCTTGCAACTGTCTCTGGAAGTGAAAGCACCTGAAAATAAATTAAGTCATACGCAGCTGTCATTCGTATGCAAGGAAGTAAGCACAAGATGCCGAACACCCTTAGCAGGATGCAGCTCACCCTTCATGCGACTCGCCGAATACCTCACGGGGCTTCGCGCTTGGTGATGTGAGAGCCTGGTCCGGTGAGAACCCGGCGTGCTCCGTCCCGGCTTTGTAGGGATGCGAGGTCAATGGTCTAACGACTACGGCATGCACGACTATGAGTACACCCCCCCCTGCCGAACTGCGTGACTCTTCGTGTATAGAGTAAACCGAGTAAACCAAGTCGGGTTCCGGTTGGCACCGACATGATGCTTCGAGGGGCGTGTCTTGGAGAGCGCACCCTGAGGGGTGTACAGCGCTTGGTTGTATGGTTTGAATGCCTTCGGTTTGTCTGTGTGTGGAGACCATATCGGCCGAGTTACCTCACAGCTGGTATAGGAAGAATATCTGAGCTGAAAAGCACAAGTAACCGGAGGGTTTTGGTCATCTTTCAACGCTCTCTTTGGCGCTACTAGAGCATGCTTTACGTAGCTCATGGTATACCGGCGGCAAGTCACCCAATACTGTAACGCGACTTGTCACCGCATATGACCTTCACCACCGCATGCACGGTAGGTGAGTGGGGCGAAATTTGTCTCCGCTGCTACTCCCTGGTGCTACTCTTCCGCCTATTTATTATACACCCGACACCCAACTGACTTACTCACGTTTGCGCCCCTCGAACAACCATGCCGCTTGAATTGGCGCCCTAGCCAGTTGGGGTTGGCCGTTTGCTAGACGCGCCTTCGTACCCCTTACGTGACCTCCGGAATGCTTCGAACGCAACAGGTACGCGAAGTACGTGGCCGTGGTGGAGGGGTTGCTCACGGCCCACCTTCGTGCAGACGACCAGAGAGGTATGCGGCACGCCAGAAGCGTTTTTGGTTCGGCGCCTGAGCCGGGGGGCGTTCCCCGTGGTCGACACCTCAATCCAACTCCGTGCTGGGAGGGATTCCCCAAGTTTTTGTCTCGCATGACAAAAGTGTCTGTGTATCCGAGGAGATTGTTATCATACACGGTGAGATTGCCGCTGCGAAACGGATTGTTGCTACTGCAGCAGATCGTTCGCACCCCGTTCTAGAAAGTCTCATCAGAAGATAAGTAAGAGCACTTGGTCATTTCCGCTCAACGAAAAAAAAAGAAAACAGACAGCACTTCAGATGTTGGGTGAGCCTTGTGATGCACAGGGCTCTTCGACCATACGACAACACGAAATGATCGCAGGCCCGTCGCAGCTAGTGAAGAAGCTGTGGAGGCAGCTGGTGGCAACATGCATTGCGTTTGGGGTGCGCAGCACCGAGAACCAGCGGTTCGAGAGGGCCTTGGAGCTACTCAAGCGGGCTGGGATACTCCTCTCTAGGTGCGTGTGAGCTCGTTGTCGTCGCGTTTCCGATCGGTCATGTATCCGCTTCGACAAAAAAAAAATATTTGTAGGTATAGGATTCTCTTGCTCTTCCCATTCAGCGGGGCTTGGCAAACAAGCACCATTGAGCGAAAACAATAGCACCGGATGGGCCAGGAGCGGTCATGCGCTTCTCGGCCTCGACCCGGGCTGTTAGCGGGGTACTCCACCCCCGCGCACTGACCGACATACGTACACCCCAACAGCAGCACCGAGGGCTGCCGTGAGACTGAACGCTCGAAGCTCGAAAAAACACGCGCAGGCAAGTGCTCGACAAGCACTCCACCCTGGAGCTCCGGGCGTTCGTGAACGACGCCTACGGGCTGTACTTCCTCCGGAGGGGAAAGTCAAGCGCGGCCTTGGACTACCTGCAGAAGGCCATGAAAACGCACGCTCGCATGCTGGTGAGGGTGACGGGGGATGACGGCGCGGAGGGGGGGGGGTACCAGAACATTTTACACCCATTTTTGGATCGTCCAGCTCAAACGATTGCGCGGCATCTATCTGTCACTCCATCGTCTCTCATTGGTGTTATGTTTGTTCTCCATGAAAGATGCAGGGAAGCCTGCCAGTAGAACCTGGTCCCCTCGATTTTTTTGTGCACTCTAGCCCCCCTTGGGAGGTGCAGAGATTGAGCGCCGTGCTTTGGTTGGCCGTTTTCCGATTTATTGTACGTCGAGTGGCTGCAAGACGTAGTTGAAGACATGGTGCGTTTAATGGCGCCTTCCAGGCTCAGCTGTAGTTGTCGGAACTCTGTTCTCTCCCCCCCGAGGTGCCTGCGGTTGTTTTCACACGCAAACGAACGGTCAATGAGCCCACGGAACATGTTTATACCCTGTGAAGTGAACAATCGACAGCGACGCTCTCGGGACTAGGGAAAACAGCCGAGCAATCCAACACCGCAGCAAATACCCGATGGGCGTCGAGAAAGTTCGGAAAGAGAAACTTCCCCGCCCCTCTCGAAGGGTGCCGCGTACCAAAATGCCACCGCTGTCGTCTCGCCGTCCCACTCTTCTGTCGCCCATCGGCCGAACGCAGGACTGGGGACACGTGGCCAAATGCCATCTCCACTCCTCCATGGTCTTGTCCAAGCTCAACCGCCATGACGAAGCTCTCAGGTGTCTCGGACAGGTACTCCTAACGAAACGCCTCAGATGGGGAAGCGCGTTCCCCGCGGCTCCGACGCATTTTTTTCTCGACGCCTTTTCCAGGCAGGGCCAAACAAAACAAACTCCCACAAGCGATGGGTTCAGCATTTCTTCGCGAAACACTTGCGTTTGCTAAAACGGATATCCGCGCCAGTAAAAAAAGCGTAGAGAACCCTCTGTCGACAGCAGTAGCGGCCTAAAACGTGCTCAGTACCACATGGAGTAAGAAGCCCAACCCAGGATACCGCTGGTCAGTAGCCGTGCCTCGTGGTCACCGACGAAGCTTTCCGTTTCATCTATTTCCATTCCTTTTGTGCCCTTGTCCCCTGTCCCCTTCCCCCGCCCTCCGCCCCCGGTCTCTGCCCCCGCGCTTCCTGCGGCGACGACTCGCCAGGTCTTGGCGATGGTCCAGGAGGGCAAGCTCGACGTCGGGGGGAACTCTCCGCAGAAGCTGTGCCTTGTGGCCATCTGCTATCACAACATGGCTGTGAGTGAACAGTGACTTTAATCTGTTTGGTATGTGACTTGGACGCTGCGAAAAGAACATACCTACGGGTTCGGGGGGTCACAGACGTCCTTACTGACCTGTATCACGGCTTGAAGGGTCGGATACTTGGGATAGCTGTGTAACGCCAATGCTTTACGGGACAAGACCGGTATCGATAAACAAGTCCAGCTGCAGGAGGCATGTGGTTCCCCCTCTACCACATTCAGAATCGGAACCATGCGATAGTGCAGCTGTGTATCGAAGAAGGTTCAATGGCTTTCTCCCTGGCAAGCTCTGAACACTTGTGTAGGTGAGGGTAAACAATCGCACGTCACGCGAGCGACTAATACCAAGAGGGGCCGGCTGAGAACCTCCCCAAAGTCATCCTCTCTTCTGCACCAAGGTATGCTATATATAGCACGATTTCATTCACTCGGGAACTCGTCCGGTCCTACCCGTGCAAAACTAAACCCGAAACGCTACATGCATGCGCACAGGTCGAGCAGTTGATCCTGCGCCATGCCGGAGAGGCGTGCATGAGCAGCCAGAACGCCCGTCGGCTGGCGCGCCTGTGCCTGTCCTACTCCAACCGCTGGCTCCACTCCTTCGAGGGCACCCACAAGCTCGCGCTCGCTGAGCTCTCCAGGAGCCTGTCCACCACCGGTGGAGACGGGGCGGGTGGAAACGTGGCGCAGCGGAGGGGCAGCGGCGGGTACGGGGAGGGGGAGCGAGAACAGAAGGATATATTGCAACGATTGACGGAAGAACTCTTTTCGTAGCACAGGTTTCGTCGGGGCGGGGGTTCGTATCGTCACAGAAAGGTTGGACAGGATTCGTACAAACACGGCGTCTGTAGAGATGACCGACGATGCACTGGGCAGCAAAACCGGAACATGCCGGAAGAGGTCTAGGCCCGTAGGGCAGCAAAAATTTGGCCCCATGCGTCTGATAGTTCGAGACTGCAGGGATCGGACCTTGATACGGTTCAAGCATCTATTCTAGGGTATGGGGAGCCACCAGCACGGGCCAACCTTTCTGTTGCCGGTGCTGTCTAGTCTGTGGGTGGGTCGATGGTGAACAGCTCCTGCAGAGGCGACATAAATCAAAGGGAGAAAATATCACCTTATGCTTATGACGGAAAGACAGAATAGGTGTCCACTGTGCTCCGACTGGCGTTTTGGAGAAGGCTCAGCAGTGGGCACTGCTCTGACAAAATCCGCATGGACCTGGTTTCACGTCCCACCAACATTGGGTATTCCATCCCCTGGGCGCCTTGCACCTCCGGGAGTTCGGTACAGGAGTAGTGGCGAGGCAGGTGTTCGTGGTGCATTGCCTGGCGCCAGGCCTGTTGCGACACTTGGTTGATGTGTGGTTTCGGGAGAGCCACAACCGAAGGAGCCACTCATCATGCCCTCTCCTTGCCCGCTCGTGAGATTCAGGCACATCCCATGCATCGGGGTTTAATGGGGCCTGCGAACAGCTTGGTGGTGTTCTAGTATTGGTCTGAGAACACGACTGACGTCGTGAGGGTTTGTTATTATTCTGTGTCTGGTTCACAGTCGTCCTTCGGCATTCACAGTGGACCGTTCCGTAACATGTTATCCGCATGTCAGCCTCAAGCGTTAATTAAGCATGCAAGAAAAGTTCAAGGAGGACATGCTGATCCTTTCTGTACATAATGGTTGAGGCGTGCGTCGCAGGCGAAGCCTTCTGTGCGACCAAGGATGATAGAATTCAGAAGCTCTTCGGTTGTGACAATTAGGAACGCACGTGAGGAGAAAGTGATCGTCAGGACCATGATGGGATATTGGTAAAGAACGATGTGAGAGGAAGGTGCAGCAAAGCTTGAACAATGGATCAAACTCAGACACGCAAGTCAAGGCTTGAGTCTGCAGCTCACATCCGCCTGTTTGTGGAATAGCGATGATCTCTGAACGTCCACAACATCAGTGCGGCGGTCCGATACTTCTCAACTTATGGTTGTTGTACACTAAATGGTATTCTCACGAACGAGCGGTTCCCCTTGCAAACTCTGGGGTGAGGTTCCCTAATGCTTCGGCTGTTGTACACGAAATCGTATCCATCTCCACTAGCGGGGGGTGCCCCTGCCAATGTCGTGTTGAGGTTCACTTATGCAGCGGTCCCCCGGCGTTGGTCGGGGTGAGGTTCCCCAATGCAGAGGTTCCCCTCGTGCATGGGATGAGGGTGTTCCCTACGGCAGAGATCTCGCTGCTGCAAAGCAAATGGGGGTTCCCTCACGCGCCGGTCCCCTTGCACTCTTTGCGTAATAGGTCCCGTATGCACGGGTTGCCTAATGTGTACTGCAGCGGCGGGCCGAATAGTCCACGACAATGGCAATGCCCACGAACCCCACGACTAACTTCTACAGAGAAGCCGCAGGGCTGACTTAGTCTACTGTAATGGGTTGATGTCGGCTTCTATGGTGGCTGGAGTACTTTACAACGGCTTGGGTGGGGCACGTGTCAAGGGGGAGCATGCACTTGCTGAGCGGTCAAACAATTAACCCTCTTGTGGCATAGAGCCAAATGTCTACGAGCAAAGAGAGACAAATCGGTGTGTCAACGTGGCAAACAACGAATTTCCTCCAGAGTTGGGACATCACATTGCCTGCGCATGAAGCGCCTTTGAGTACATGCGATTCTACCTGCACTGTGACCGCACACTGCACCACGCCCAAACCCCGTGAAGTGCCTTCGAGCGAGGCGAGTCACTCGGCGCGATGACCGTATTCGGTAAAATTACAAGTGCGCCAGCAAGGCGGACGTTCAATCCGCGCGCTGCGTCTACCTGTACGGCCCAAACCACCACTCAACGACCATCGCCGTTGTTCTTCACGCCGACACCGGGAGGGTCACGATTACCAACGACGTCGCGTGGGTCAACCGCCAGGAAGTTGCGCCGGCGCCGGTGCCGGCCATCGGGGGGAGTTCTTCGGTCACCGCGGCGCCCTTGCCGGCCGCCGACGTACCTGCGGCCGCTGCCGCACCGCCACCGTCATCGTGGATGTACACCTACACCCTGCCTGCATCAGCGACCGCCGCAGCCCCGCCCCCGGCTTCTCCGCCGATCATCTCAGGATCCTCCTCGGCTCCGTCGCCGATCTCCGCCGCGCCATCGTCAGCATCGCCGTCGACCGCAGCTACGCCGCCCCGCTCCCCGCCGACGCCACCGCCGCAGCCCGCCAGCGCCGTCGCTCCCGCTCCCCCGCACCTGCCGCTTTCGAAACGAACCATCAAGGAGCTGGGAAGAGCGGAGACGAGGGTTCACGGCCTCACGCGCGGCGACGGAGTGCGGTTCATGGATGAGCAACAACCAACGCCGTCACCGTGCGGTGGCGGCACCGCTCTCCAACACAGCCGTGGGCTGCTATCGATGGTGGACAAGGATGCGCTCATCTCGTCGCTCGCCACTAGGGATGCCGTCGACCAAGGACGCCGAAACCTACCTCCCCCGCCGCCGCCGCTTGATCCGAGTCTTGGAGGCCGTGGGAGCGGGGGGGGGTGTGGGATCCGGGGGGAAGATGGGAGCCTGGGGGGCGTGGGCACTGCACATTCTCGCGGCGATGTCTTCACTCGCGAGGACGTGGGCGCCGCTCTTCCCGCCGAACGCCCGCCTGACAAGACGCCAGACCTTCCTCACTGCCTCGCCAGCGACCTCCGCGTGCCGAACACGTTTAAGGATGCCACGCGTTCCCAACACCCAGAGTTGTGGCAAGATTCAGGTACCTTGGAGCCAGTGCATGTAGCAACCAGAACGTAACGCCAAGCGGGTCTTTAACTGTAAGGCCGACGAGTACGGATGACCGACGAAATTCGAGGCAAGACTTTTAGGGCGGGGGGGCATTCAGAGGGCTTCGATTGATTTTGGAGAGTTGTTTGCACCCACCGTATCAGTGTCTATGTGCGTTTGCTAGCAGCATTGGCATGTGAGCAGAACCTTGACTTTTGCCATTTCGATGCTCAGCAGCATTTGTTCAGTCTGAGCTTGATGAGGATGATTTCATGCGTCTACCGCAGGGTTGTGGCAGGTTATCTGGTCTGATCGTGAAGCAATGCAAGACTCTGTATGGGTTGAAGCAGGCATCATGACAATGGCATGCGCACCTGACGAGATGTTTGTTACTTTTAGGTTTTTTGTTGTGCCTGGCGGATGCGTGTCCTTTGCGACTGATGGAGGAGGGAGAGTGTGATCATGATCGTCGTGGTCCACGTGGATGACATATATTTTTGCTGTAGGGCAGAAGGGTAGGTGGGACCAGTTTGGCAGAGATCTCAACGAGATGGTACCCGTGAAGAACCTTGGAGAGTTGAGGTAGTATTCCGCGTCCTTTTACGAAAGATATGTAGAGAGAGGACTGTTGAATATTTCGCAGCAGATTGCAGAGTACGGTGTAGAGTGGGGGAAGAGCGCGCCTTTGCCTGTTAGCGTGAAGCTGACCGACTTTGACGAGAACGAAGCGTGCGCTGATGTGCCTTTTCGCGAGTTGACAGGATCCCCGATGTGGTTGGCCAATCAAACAGGGCCGGACATCGCGAACGCAGTACCAGCAGTAGCGCGGTATTGTGCGCCTCCGAAGATGGTGCACTGGAAGGCAGCACTAGGTATTTTAGGGTACGTCCGTAGGACGAGTTGGATGGGTATTACATTTGAGAGAGGAGTAGTGACCGGTATGAGCATGCAGGGGTTTGTGTATGCTGACCATGCAAGCAAAGCGGCAGACCGGAGGTCGGTGTCAGGAGGGCTAGTGATGTGCGGGTGCGGGGGGTGGATGTGTGACTTGGTTTTCAAGTGACGCAACAGGGCGTTACGCTTTCCACCTGTATGTGGCAATTGCCGACGTCTTGAAGGAAGCGCTGTTCTTGAGGCAGGTGTGGCGTTTTATGCTGTCAGATGCGGGTACACAGTATGCCATGCATCCCGGCGTTCGAGGATAATCACGGAGCGATTCAGATTGCGCACAACCCGATCACGAATTCCAACTCGAAGGACATCGATGTACGGCATCACTTTATGAGGGAGCTGATAGAGAGGAAAGAGATTTGAATCACTCGTGTGCCGACGCAGTTTCAGGATGCAGATTTGTTGACGAAGGCTATTACCGAGGAGTCTTTTGCGGTGCACCGTGACTTTGTGATGAACTTGCAGTGAAGGAAGCGTTTTGGGGTCGATTCGTATTCTGTCGAGAAGAGAGAGAGAGAGAGAGAAAGAGGAAGAGAGAGACGACATTGGACAAGAGAGGGAGAGAGCCTGGGTGAGGTGGTATTGTTTGATAGTTGGGTTAGCGATATTTATTGAGTATTTTGGAGGAGTTTCTCTTGTATTGGAGATAGCGTTGCTGAATTGGGGCATCGGATGTGTTTGAGATTTTGGATTTTTTGTTCTGGATTGTTTTGGAGGAGTTGGAAAGTAAATTGGTGATGTTGATTTTTGCTTAAAGCATGACGATGCATACGAGCAGGGGGGCTATTTGGTATACTCGTAGCATAGTATGACGGGTGAATCTTAGGTATACATCTACGGAGATCGCAGTGACGATGAGGTTCGGAGGAACGGGAAGTTTCTTTGTAGTTTCCTTGGGAGTGATGGAATGGTGGAGATTCAGGGAGATGCTCTTGGTGTTTTTGAGCGTGATGCGTGACTTCATGGCGTGACGAATTGACAGCACGCCCCCTTTCCACACTATCAGACGACTGGCGAGGGGTCCGGCCCCGGAGATCACTGCTCGGAGGCCAAGACCCGCCGACATATATATTTTTCGACAAATGGTGTAATTTATCGAATAGACCCCACACTTGCACCACGCACAAAACCCCGTCAAGTGTCTACGAGCGAACCTAGCAGTATCGATGCGACACTCACATCAACAACACACCAAATCGGTCTAGACTATGATTTTGTGCTTTCTGGGTGGGAGAAAGCTAGCGTGTGCCACCGCCGTGACTGCTACCTACCTACAGGCGACGGCCGACCACAAAAATATCATCCATAGGAGATCGGCAAAATCACGAAACGGGCGGGTGCGGGGTGATGTTCATCGGAGATGAACCTCGGCTAATCCGACTGGCTCTCGGCCCATTGTCGTCGTATATCGAAGAAACCAAATCCCGGTTGCTGATGCACAGTCTACTAGTGGAAGTTATGCTTTTGAAGCGTCGGCGGACGCAAATGACCCCGTGTATGTGTGGTATATCTACCAGCTACGGCAGCAAGGGGTGTACGTTTGAGAAGAGAATATGAAATATGCATATCATGGAGGAATCTGTTTACGGCACAACCCCTTCGGATGATTCTCAATTGAAGATTCACCGATAGAATCCCCATCTCCCGATGCAAGATATGCTGATCCGAGAACATGTAGCTACATTGTGTACGTACAACGTTCTACCACTCGTTCTCATGAGAGGTTTGAGCTTAAGTGTTTTCTGTGTCCTCTACAATAGGTACGCTGCGCATCGTTCCGAATCTTCAGATGAGATTCATCCGAAGGTGTTGCGCCGTAAGCAGATTTCCATAGTACTCATATTCATATTCTGAGAGATTCTCTTCTCAAACGTACACCCCTTGCTGCCGTAGCTGGTAGATAGACCACACACACATGGGGTCATTTGCGTCCGCATGTATCCGACGCTTCAAAAGCATAACATCCACTAGCAGGCTGTGCATCAACAACCGGGATGCGATTTCTTCGATATACGACGACAGTGGGCCGAGAGCCAGTCGGATTAGCCAGTCGGATTACCCGAGGTTAATCTCCGATGAAAATGACATTACCGCACCCGCCCGTTTCGTCATATTGCCGATCTCCCATGGATGGTATTTTTGTGGTTGGCCGTCGCCTGTAGGTAGGTAGGCAGCACGCGGTAAAAAGCTCCCACCCAGAACACAAAAGCAGACGCGTTTCAGGGCTCCAGAGAATATCCACGGCTGAACCTGCCAGGCGCTTTTTCATCGCGGAGGGGGAATCAGGTGGGCGGACTGGGCGCCATGTGCACAACGTTTACTGTAGTGGCGAGGGATCACTGGTTGCTACCACCGCCTGTGAGACTCGAAGTGAAGCATCGTGGCTGCGGCATAATGCGCGTTCCCCCCCTGCCTCCTCCGGGCCCGCAAATATTTCATGGCACCGGATTGCACCGGATACAACAAAACGGAGGCACACTCTCTCCCACAGCACTCATGTCGCTGCCGCTGAATGGCATAGTTTATGCCTTTAAAACAAATGCTCTCTGTGCCAGGGATCATGTTAATATGCTGTAGACAGAAAATTGTCGTCGGCGTCTGCCCTTTGGACCATATAGAGTCCCCTCGATACTTTTTGTTGTTAATCGCACCCGTTCAATCACGCGCAACCGACTTGACAAAGGCCGACACCTCGCACATGACTGACAGCACCGAGCATAGACGCACAGTACACGTCGGCCGTACTTGTAACCCTACCGCAAGCCAATTGCGGGTAGGGCAGGTTTGGTAGCACGCACGTATCCAAACCACGCTTTATTTTTCCTGTGAAACCCACACACACGTTGAATCACACGTAGCAGCCATGATATCGCCGAAACACGTCGCAGCTGATTTGACAGCATAGAGCATAGGCTCGCAGCACACGACGGCCGTACTTGCTGACCTACCGCAAGCTGCTTAGGGTTAGCGCAGCATTGCAGCTCGCACGGCGTATCTACAGCGGCAGCAGCACGCTTGACACAGCACACAGCAGTACGCGGCAGCAGTGAATTTTTCTTTCGCGTTTGCACACGGCAATAAAGTCCCGTGCGCGTCCCTATCCATCACAACGAAAGCAGGGGTAGTTGTGGCCGCTGTCGTGCGCCCAGCACATCAATCTATAAATTAGACGCCCGCCCTGAATATATTTCTTCTTCAAGTTTGCTACTTTAGAAAAGTGCTTTAATTACCTTTCGAAATGCAGTACCAAGCAAGGTCTCATGCGCATTGCATGAAGACGGGCTGTGTATCTCATGTGTTTGTGGGCAGTTTGATAACGCTCGCATGTCGTACAAAACATCGCGACCGGGGTCATTCTACATTGGAGCCAGCTCTGGGGACAACAACTTGCCAGCGAAATATCAGACTTCTACGATGTCCTGTGATTATGGCAGATTTGCAGCGAGAACCGAATCTGAATCCAAACAACACCACAAACAAAAATGTTCAACACTGCGGGTGCATGCGCTACGACTTGTCGACAGTAGCAGCGTCTCACTTGACCCGCTGCGAAGTGTAATAGAGCGAACAAACGTAGGTGCTGTTGGACAGCGATATGGAAGCAGCGAATGAATGGATGGATGAATGAATGCGGAAGAGTAGGGCAAACAATTCACTACAACAACTAACGAATACAATCAATAGTTGGGAAAGGGTCCACCTAGCCCGTATTGATCCGCATTGATTGGAATCAACTACATAGTCACCCAAGATTCTGAGCCTGTAGCTGATTGGAACCAACTAGATACCCAAGATTATCAGTCAGTATTTGATTGGAATCATCTACTTGTTGCACAACATTCTGACCGAGTAGTAGTTGGTTGGAAACAACTAGTTGCAAAATGTTCTGATCGAGTAGTTGTTTGGAAACAAGTAGTTGCACGTGGTTCTCACCGAGTAGTTGTTGTCGAACAAATACACCCAGGTACATATCGTAGTTGTACGGAGATAATTGACGCATATCGTTTTGATGGGTTTCAGAATCGGTTCGCCAAGGATTGTCTGGGCGGAACGCCCCCCCGGGGTATATGCTGTAGCAAGTTTTCGCAACTTTAGCCGTTAACCGCACGCGCCACGGAGGCCTACCAAGCTCCGAGCACGAGCGTCATTCCATTTCCGACGAGCCTCGTGCGTAGCCCTGAGAAGGAATCGCGAGAAGAGACTCGCTGCCGCGAGAGAAAGAAAGGCCGAATCATAAAGAGTGACTAAATCTTATTCGTACACAGTCACCCGTCTCGTTTCGATGATTTATTGTCGTTAACGCGAGGAAGTTTCCCTGGACAGTATCGCATCATCCCCAGGATCAATGGAGGCGTGCACGTACGATGCACCTTGACAAGCGAGGATCACTGCGTATGAAATTTGGCGGGCAAAGTCGTGGAAGTGTTCCGATTTTTTTTCTCGCACTTGTTCCAGAAATCAAACAGGTTCAATGTTGATTATATAACTCTTAGATATAACCAAGTACCAACAGCCTGGTCGACGGTGGTACGCGTATGAACACACCACGGTTCCTCTGAGCGGTATTCCAGTAGTGCACTACAAGGACACGGAATGATATCACTTCTTCCACGAGAAAACACGAAAGGTGGCCAGTTCCTCCCCTGCCCCTTCCTCTACGCTTGACTTGAGATTTATCAGTGAACGAATTTACAGCTAGCGACCGAAAGAAGGTAGTATCGGGAAGGGCCGGCAGTTAAGAAACGTCAAGGTCGGCTCAAGGGTTAGATTTTGGCCCAAAAAACAAAATTGGCAGAGTCCCCGCACATTGTGTTGAGTGCGGGTTCTGAACCCCGAGTTTTCGTTTATTTTCCATCCCTTCCATTCCGTTTCCTTCCGCTTCATAAACCTTGTTGTAGTCTTTGCCATGACCAGCAACGCCCTCGGCGGTGGGCAGTCAGTAGAGCGCCTCCATTCGGTCGCGCTTCTCAACCTTTGCAACTTGCAACAAAGATTGTCAGTGTTGAGACTCTCTCACACGGGATACAGTGCACATGCTCACCAACAAGTCGTTTTCCACTACAGCAAGGCGGCAAATCATTGATATTTATTGCTCCACCTCTTTTGCCAAACGATGGTAACCAGTTGGAGTCGCTGCCACCGGCGTGACAACACCTATCCAACGCACCATTGCAACCACAAACGAGGCAATCATTTGATTTATAGTTGGCAAACACTCCGTAGTCTACAAATGAGTTGTTTTTGTGACCGGTGGGCCAACCACGGAGCAAGACCAAGGGCTCTGGCTCGAGATTCCCAACTCAAAGCCGGCCGCAAACGAAGTTGTCGCAGTGTATAAGCGTTGATGTTTCGCATGATGAAGCATGCGGGCGAGAGCTACCAACTCGGACCAAATTCGGACTCGGTCATGGCACCTCTACGGGCATAGTAGGTATTACTGGCGGGTGTCTTCTCTGTGCTTTGGTTGTGGTCGCGTTTGTCAGCGTGTTTCAAACCGCCTCCAAGTTTCGGTAAGACTTTGGAAGAGCATCCCTCCGAAATTTGTAACTTGTTGGTCCGACCTCAACCTTCAACCTCAACGCCCTGGTAAATATCATACATCCTCCCTGAGCTAGAGTCCAAATTTGTTTCTCGGTTTTATTTTTTCAACCAGGACGACAAACAGCCATGTCTGAGCCAAGGTGGTTCATGGAGTGGAAAAAACATGGAACGGACTCGCACTACATGAAAGGACACCACGAGTACGGGCAAATCACGACCGAGACAGGTAGTCCGTTCGCGTTCGACGGCTTCCGCGTCAGGCATTTGTTCAAGGCCGATCCCAAGCTGTGGAAGATATCCCTTTCGGGTTTCCGTCGACCCTTCCGCGGCGTCGGTGATCAACCCACCCACACTATTCGCAACGATCCCAACCCTCAGCGTTACATGTTCGTGGACTCCCGGCCGGAACACAACTGGACCATGTTGCAGAAGAATTTCGATTCCGGCGGCATTGCCGGTGAATTCTTCATTGAGCACGCCGACGTCGACAATATTCGGAAGCTTGAGGCCAGCGCCCAACGACTCATTGCCGCAGACTTCCTAAATGGAGGAAAGATGGAAGGGAAGGCAGACTACTGCATCCCCGTTTACATCATCTGCGCACTCAACGGAGGCGAGTCCTACCTCGGCCTCGACGATCACGACAACGTCATTCGCACGGATGCCCCCCACGTGTGGTACTTGGGCCGCGGCCGGAACGCAATTGCGAAGAGGAACATTTCGGACGCCGCCATGAAGGTATTCGATCGCTCGGTGGCCTCGGCTGCGGCCGCCGCGACTGGGGTATCCGCGGCTGCTGACCATGGTGGCAGCTAGGGTGCTGCTCTTCCCCATGTTCAGCGGAAAGTCCCCAACATTCCAAATATCGGAGGTTTCTTGATTCGACGCTCTGACTGAGCTTGCTGGGATATTTGTCAGGAGAAGTGCTTGCGGCTGGTTTCGCGGCGTGGCGATTACAGTCGTAGTAGAAGTAAAGAAACCGGCGGCACCCTTGACCAGGCATGTTTCGGACGGTGCAAGTACGGTGCGCGACTCGGGGTTGAGGCAATAATGTAGGGGGGTGCACGAGGGGCATATCCGAATCCACTACCACTCCCTGTAAGGAGTTCGTGCGGTTGACTTGAGATCCGAGGGCCAACACGCTGAATCCCTCACCAAGCCGCTCAATAGTCGTTTCGACTACAACAGAAATACCGCAGCTTTTTTCATGAAAAAATCCTTGATATTGTTTTCGGTTTCGGGCGCAAACTATTGTTTGACGCCTGCTGGGGTGCAACATCATGCTGGAAGAAGGGGGCGGTAATGATGTGATACAAACACAGCCTTAGCAGCGTGTGTAGTAGGTAGAGGATCTGAAAGTCCTGTCATATGGTTTTGGATTGTTCTGGGCTGTTGGGTAATCAATACCACGCGTTTTTTTCTGCACTATAAAATCATGAATTCGATATGGAGTACGTATTCGACGCGTGTTTGGCTTACACCAGAGTTTGTTCAACTTCGAGAGTATGATATAAGCAGTATATTGGTGCGCGCAGTGTCGGGTCTGGGGGGCAGTTCGCTATGGATTTTGTTGTGGCGTTTGCAGTTGCGACGGATCTGGGGGGCTGTTCGCCATGCATGTGTGGTTTTGCGATATTCTGTTCGCACAGCGGCGAGAGACTGAATGCACGCGATTTCATGTAGGAGTCAGCTACATATACTGTAGCGGGGCCCGGCGTACGTAGCACGCTTGTTTCGTGTTTCTGTGATGTTCCTCTTCGTCGGAGATTTCTGAGATTCTACTTCGTCGCAGTTCATCTTGAGGCGGAAATGGCTCGTGTTTGACGTACGCTAGTCTATGTACGTATGACTGCGTAGCATATATATTTGATTCACACTGAATCTTGAGATCCAGGAATCGCCTCCGATGCGTTGATATGTACGGCATTCCTGTTCGTGTTTGTTTTTGGTTAGTTTTTTTCTGGGTTTTGACTTGTTTTTATTTTTGACCCGAACTTTGTGTTGCATGCGAAATTCAATGATAACTGCCGTAATCTGCTGTTTGTTCTGCTGTCCAGAAGCATGGGGGGGGGATTTGTGTACCATGTTTCTAGTCGCAGCACCTGCAGAGCAGAGTGCTTTTGGAGTTTTGTTCAAGTTGGATTTGTTTCGTTATGGTTTTCTTTGCGTTTTTTTCGTTCTGCTGTGTTTTGCGTCGAGAATCAGGGAGAGGGGGTGAATGTGTTGTCATGATTCCAGACGCACCACCAGCGAATGCATTGATGCTTTGCTTGTGTAAGCAAGGCATGTTTCAGCTGGGGGGCTGTTTCGTGCACTTTGATGTTTTGAGATTCTCTGTCGATTGCAAAGGAGAGGGAGAAAGCGCAGGCAGATCTGTACGTATGTTGCGGGGAAATGTTCCAGCTGGGGGGCTGTTACGTATTGATATTGGTATTGATATTGCTGTCTTGTGCCACAGTCAGTGAGAGAAGGGTGGCACATAACTTGTTGTTTCGGGAGGTCTTGCAGCAGGCGAGCTGTTTGCATGTTGCAATATTTTCTATCGTTTATTGGACAACAGCTGAGGCACCGATTCGCATGTGCGCGCTGTTTAGGATTTGGTCCTTGGACGTTGCATTGGAGGAAGGATTTGACATGTTTTGACGAGTAATGGTTGGGGTCTTCGTACGTTCCAAATGCTCGTTTTGATTGGTCAAGACGTTGAAACTTCGTTTTGTTCGAGGATGTTGTGTCAACTCTTTTGAAGCGGTTTTTCCAGATCTGTCCGTCACCGTGCCGACGCTTTTCTGATGTAGCGCAGATACTTGTTGGGTACTCTTCTGAGGATGATTCTGTTGTGCTGACGGTTTGAGATTATATCCAGGGGCGAGCACATTGGGTTCGTGGATAAACTGGTGGAGACGCATTGTGTTCAATGCTTACCCAGTTTTGTAGAGGATGTTTCTCAAGTGGTTATTTTGTGTTTTTGTATTGGTTAGAAGGTAGTCACAAAGGACTCGCAGATCGCAATTGTTATCAAGCAGGGGGGCTGTCTGGGGTACTTGGACAAAATATCCGATCTGGAGAGTATATGTGTGCGGGGGGTATGCTATTGGGGGTCCAAGTGCGGGGCCCCTCGAGAGACTTGTATTTGGGGAGATATTGCAGCAGGGGGGCTGTTTGCATGTTACTATATTGTCTATCGTTTCTTGGACAACAGCTGAGGCACCGATTCGCATGTGCGCTGGTTAGGATTTGGTCCTTGGACGTTGCATTGGAGGAAGGGTTTGACATGTTTTGACGAGTAATGGTTGGGGTCTTCGTACGTTCCAAATGCTCGTTTTGATTGGTCAAGAAGTTGAAACTTCGTTTTGTTCGAGGATGTTGTGTCAACTCTTTTGAAGCGGTTTTTCCAGATCTGTCCGTCACCGTGCCGACGCTTTTCTGATGTAGCGCAGATACTTGTTGGGTACTCCTCTGAGGATGATTCTGTTGTGTTGACGGTTTGAGATTATATCCAGGGGCGAGCACATTGGGTTCGTGGATTAACTGGTGGAGACGCATTGTGTTCAATGCTTAGCCAGTTTTGTAGAGGATGTTTCTCAAGTGGTTATTTTGTGTTTTTGTATTGGTTAGAAGATATTCACAAAGGACTCGCAGATCGCATATGTTATCAAGCAGGGGGACTGTTTGGAGTACTTGGATACAATATCCGATCTGGAGAGTATATGTGTGCGGGGGGTATGCTATTGGGGGTCCAAGTGCGGGGCCCCTCGAGAGAGAGCCCGCGCATGTGTTCTGTCTATGTTCTGTATGTCTGCAAAGACTACTGTGTACATTGTGCTGGAAGGAGCACGGGTGTCTAATAATCAAGGTTATGTTCATCTGCATCGGTCTGGGGTTGTCATAGTCCCTAGATCTACTCATATTACCGTGGGTGAGCACGGTAGCCCCCGGGGGAAGGCGCGGGGGCCTCTAACGTGAAATTTCGCACCTTGCGTTGCCTCCACCAGGTAATCAAGAGCTCGCTCGTTCTCCTCCACAAGCTGTGGCCCGTACCTCTCGATCAGCACGCTACGAGGAGGGCCATTGATCAAAACCACGGGGTTGTCAGATCTCTGCAGTGTGTGGGCCAAACCCTTGCTGGCCATGAAAATCTCGAACACCTGGCGGAAATCAACGAAGTTGCCGTCGTAGACAGTCGGCTTTCTCTCCGCTTGCCTCCTCTTGAACATTAGTTGTTGTGTGGACCCTTCCGCCCATGTCTAATCTCCGGACCTTCCTCCGGTATACACTCCCCCAGCCGGCCACCCGGCCATATTCCCAGCTGCCTTCCCAGCTTTACAGTTCTCCGCAGCCCTCTCCGCTGCTGCCGCCCTCTCCGCGGCATGTTGAACATCCGACACCAATCGTCTTTTAAAACGATTAATCGTGTTCGAGGGGCTACCGTGCCCAACCACGGTACTATGAGTAGATCTGGGGACTACGTTAACCCAGGACCGATGCAGATGAATACAACCTTGATTGTTAGACACCCGTGCTCCTTCCAGCACAATGTACACAGAGTATTCTTTGCAAACATGCAGAACATAGACTGAACACATGCGCGGGCTCTCGCTCGAGGGGCCCCGCACTTGGACCCCCACTAGCATACACCCCACACACGTGTACTCTCCCGATCGGATCTTCACATCCAAGTACCCCAAACAGGGAAAGAACGATGTTGGACGAAGATTGACATTGGTCAATGATTCCCTGATTATCGTGTTCGGAGTATCGTATCGTGACTGGGAGGCCGAGACGGATACGATTTCCCAACAAGCGTTTGCCTGCCGAGGATGTTTGTGGCGCAGTTTCGTGTGACCCGCAACAAGGAGATTTCAATGGGTGGTGGGATTGATTGCCATGGGTGGTCGGATTGAAGCTTGTAGAGGTCGATGCAGATAAGGCAGACGTTGGGAAGCCGCTTCGATCGTTGGGTCGATGCATGGTGTGGTTGGAGAAGCAGACTCGTCCCGACGGTCTCAATGCGGTGTGGGCTGTAGAAAAAGGCATTCTCATGCGCAAATATAGCTGGTGCATTGAAGTGCAGCGTTGAAAGTACATTAGGTTCACGAGAAACTACGGATTCCATTTCAGAAGGGGAACGGCGACGGGGGGTGTCTGCAGTTGTTCGTGGATTCGGACTATGCGAATATGGGCAAGGACAGGAGGTCTGTTTCTTGGGGTTGGGTGATGTGCACGGGTTCCTGTGTGTTGCTGTTTTTTAGGACAATAAAGAGCATAACGCGGTCCTCGACGGAGGCAGAAAACGTTGTGATGGCTGAGGGGTTGAAAGAAACGAATTTTAAGCTGCATGTCCGGAGGCTTTTCTTTCCAAGTCGCAACGTGGGATACACGAAGGTTTTGGAGGGCAATGCAGGGGCGATCCTTTTGGCAAACCACAGGTGGAGGTCGACCCCCCTTCCCCAATATGTAGGATGCTCGCTCCCCCTTGTGGAGACGTTGCTCGCTCCCCCTTGTGGAGACGTTGGTCAAGGTCGGACACGTTGGGAACCCAACCAAGGTCTCGAAAGAGGAGAAATCGAGATATTTTCGAGGCCCTTGGTTGTGTTCCCCAAGGTATCCGACCTGGACAAGGTCTTCACAAGGGTTCCGACATTATGGGGAAGGGGGCTCGACCTCCACCTGTGACAACCCAGCAGAGATCCCAAATTCGAATCACATCGACGTGCTTCACCACATTTCGGGAGCACGCGACCAACAAGGAGTTCAAGGTTGTGAATGTACCGTCGGAGGATCAGCGTTGCAGACCTTCTCACCAGGCCGTTGCCCAAGGATCCCTTTTAGGCGCACGTTTGGTTGGTTTCGCTCGATGCCTCGGTATGTATGTAGCTCTTGCTATTTTTGTTTTGAGTTTCGTTTTTTTGCGTAAAACCCTTGTCTTGTAGTCTGCATGGTTGACGCAGAAATTTAAGCCGGTGGGATGGTTCGAGTTTGTGGCTCTAATGACAAATTCTGGATTAAGTGGCCGAAATATCGCTTCGAGGCCCAGCTCTGAATTAGGAAAAAGAAATAATTGTTATGGGTTCTGGCGAGACTGTCATCAGGAACAATCCTCAGAACGATGGCTAAACTCAAAATCTGTTTCTTTGAGAGAATTTTTGAGTCCGAATTTGTTTGCACTACCTCAAGAAACAAAACAAAAAAGTCGTAGAGGACCATCATGATTGCCCGAAGCAAGCTGCGATGCCAATGGATTACATATTATCCGCATGTCAGCCTCAAGCGTTAACAAAACATGCAAGCAAGTTAAGGGAGGACTTGCTGATCCTTTCTGTACATGATTTTTGAGGCGTGCGTGCGACCCAGGATGATAGAATTCAAAAGTTTCTCGGTTGTGAAAATGGGGACCGCACGGTACGAGAAAGAAACAGTCAGGACCGCACAAACGATGTGAGAGGAAGGTGCAACGAAGCTTGAACAATGGACCAAACCCAGACACTCTGACGCAATGAATTTCGAAGTATTCGATTGGAACGGTTGTGAACGACGACGCAAACACGTTTGCAGCGCTTCATGAATCGACTGCCCTGTTGACTACCCCAGTCTTGGCCTGGCATTAGATATCGAGTTACATTGAGATTCTAATGCATGTCTGGGTTCTGTGTTTCTTTCGCTGTTATGGTGTATCGTATTGAATCCTGTTTGGGTAAACGGCGTTGTTATGCATACCAATGAACGTTTTCGCGTCAGTTTGACGTGTACGATGACGTATTCCGGTACTGAACAGAGGTCGGAACGGGTGTTAATCTGTATTTGTGAAAGGAGCAACATCGCTCTCATGTCGGAACAACAGCGGGACCGCTTGCCTATGGTGCCTCTTGAATCTCACCCCTCGCCGTGGTTACAGCCTATCAGAAGGTGGTGAAGTTGCTGGTTCGAACATCAAGCTCGGGGCGCCTCTTTTGATTACAGAGACATACTGTGACACACACATCAAGTCCAAAGGTCTATGTCGGCAATAGAATGAAGTATTTTCACGAGGAATATACGCGGACAAGGTCGGAAGTTATTGATGCATCCATTGTGGCTGTTTCGAAGGGTAACACGGCTGATTACAAGGCGGCATAAATCCATCTTGTAGTCTTGTAGTCACACTGTCTCTCTCGTACAGAAAGCGATGAAGAATCTGTTACAGCCTTGTCTTCTTGACCAACATTCACGCCAGTGAAGAGTAGGGGCCTCGAATGCCACCTCATCCTCCTCCAAGTCTGCGAAAGCGGCTGATCCTACATAGATTCAAGGGAGTGTTACTTACATACATGACGTTATTCATATAGATACCGTAAGAGTCGGACAGTTGGCACCGGGTGCGATCGTTTTGTCAAATGTTAATTCCTCGGGTTTTTTATCGCACCCCGGTGCCATCTCTCCGACCACGGTGCGGAAATGTAATTCAATCATATCGTTTGGAATTTACAAGGCACCCCGGTGCGATCTCTCCGACCGGTGCGATCCCCGATGAAATATATACACACACCGGTGCGATCTCTCCGACCGGTGCGATCCCCGATGAAATGCACACAGGTGTTGAATGCGCGCACGGTGCCATCTCCCCGACCGTTGTCATAGTATTGACTGGTACCAGTGCAGGTACCGCGCACGCACACCGTCTTCTGCACACACGAGTATCAATTGTTTCCCGCTTTCGTTTCGGTCTTCTGCGGATACCAGTACGTACGCAGAAGTTCAATAGTTTCGGGCTTTGTAAGGTGGGGTAGGGTGCGGCTTGTACGTTGTGTGCTTGGTTGAGTGTACGGTTGGCAACTTTCACGCCACTAAAAATATGAACACAACGCATCCCGCGTGAACCGCGACGATCCAATCGTACGTAGAGGAGTGGCGCTCCGCTGACTCCGTCCCCACGTGTAAAAGGTACGCACATGTACCTCATTCCGGCAGCTGAAAAGGAGTTCAATCTTGGATTTGGGGGTCGGAGAGATCGCACCGGGTGCGATCTCACCGACCCCGGTGCGTGAATCAATTGAAAATTTTTTTCTCGGGTTTTTTATCGCACCCCGGTGCAATCTCTCCGGCCGGTGCCATCTCTCCGACTCTTACGGTACATACATGTGTAGCCAGAGCCATGCATAGAGAACTTGCCTGCCACGCCACGAAAGGCACTCTACAACCTTAGGGCAGTTGTCAATCTGGTACACCATCGAGTTACTCCAAGCATGTGCCTCGTTTGTGCCAGCCAAACTCTGTTTCATCATTCAAGACCACGCTGGAAGAGACCGATGTCGATGAGACTGCAAGACATTTTGTGCCAGCCAAACAATTCTGGTGCCCTCGATGGTTAATGTCCACCTCGCTCACATTCGCCTCTGTGCCCCTCAGCCAACAACATGTGATCTGCACCAACATGGATCAACAATGGTCGTTGGCTCCGACCAGCTGTGGGGACCACTGACCGAGATCGCCGTGCTGCCAACAGCGGGTCGCCTCGGCTTCAGATGTTCGACCTACAGTGGCGTGAAGCAAACACGCAAGCCGTGGTGTACCCGACCATGAGTATGGTGAAACGGTCCCGCTGTGTGATACATGCGTTGGTATCTCCGCCTGTGTGGCAGTCGGCAGTCCTCTGTGGTGTGAAGCAAAAATCGGCTTGGATCGCAGATAAACTTTTCACGCTGGCTTCGTCAACCGTCCACCGTTCTTTTTTCGGAACCCTGAACCACCACAAATTTCGCCACATTCCGAACTGAAAAAAAACAAACGAAAGCCCCACCAAAGATCTTTCCTAGGTATCCCTGTCATCACACATCCCTGCCCGCTACAACTCCCCAGGCGGAGAGTACATACCTTCCTCTCATCACAAGGTCA